ACATGTGATTTGAGTTTTGGTTCTGCTAGATTGAGATCGAGATAGACAAATCGTTGTTTTTTTTTCTTGAAATGATGAGTAAAAAATTCGTGATCATAGTTTTAAGTTAGTAATAAAATAGTAATAAATTATGGTATATTTGAAGTTTTCAAAATAATAAATGTTTAGCTATGGCTCTGCTAGGATGACAGCAAGCTAGCAGAGCCGTTGGTTTTCCCTGTTGAATGAAGTGTTAGAAATTTGTGAATGTGATAATAAATTAGTAATAAACTAGTAACTCATCCATGATATAACAGAATTTCAAAAAACATGTGATTTGAGTTTTGGTTCTGCTAGGTTGAGATCGAGATAGACAAATCGTCGTTTTTTTTTCTCGAAATGATGAGTAAAAAATTCGTGATTATAGTTATGAATTAGTAATAAAATAGTTATAAATAATGATATATTTAAAATTTTCAAAACATTAAATTTTCAGCTATGGTTCTGCTAGGTTGACATAAAGCTAGCAAAGCCGTTGGTTTTTTCTGTTTGATGAAGAGTAATAAATTTGCGAATATGATAATAAATTGGTACTAAATTAGTAACAAATTATAGTACTACTACAAATCCGAAATATTGAAGTGGTTCTGCTAAGTTTATTGGGGTGAAATATCCTCTGGTTCAAGGATCTTTATGTTAGTTTGAAGAAAGTTATGAGCAAGAATTGGCTTCTCCAAATCATTTTCAGTGAATTGGCCGTTAGGGATCATTGATAGGCATACATGGCGATCAAAATTTGAGCATTTTCCCATCCTTCCTGTGTGTGTACCAGAATATAATCAGGTGACCACCGACCTCAAAACTTTTTGGCATCCAGAGATGATGCTGAAACGATGGTTATTCTCTCATTTACGTTGTGAACAACGGAAAATGTTGAATTGAACCCGTTTAGATAATTTGAATGCGCTAAGAAATCACTCAACTTCCAAAATAAATTGAAACCAGTCAAAAGTTTCGACAGTAATCAGACTCATCATCGTCAACAATTTCCATACTCACACACAGATACATAACCTATAACCTTTCTAGAATTTTCATTGTTCTGGTAGAGGTTATCTCGTTTGGCTTCAAATGCTCAATATTTTTCAACAGACATAACAGGCCATAGACGAAAGGACATTTCTTGTTCAGCACGATTTATTTCATTTTATCCAAGATTTTAACAACATTTAAATGTAGAAGAGATTCGTTGTAAATGGTGCGGAATCCGTTGCTCTGAATCTGAATTGACACAAAATCTTGTGATTTTGGTGTAGAAAACAACTCTCAAGTCAGAGAGTAGATCAATCCCACTATGATTATTTTTTCATTGTAGAGGAAGTACTCACCTAATCAACTCAAATCGGAAGTTTCTATTGGTTGCCAGAAACGTCAAGAATATACATATTGTCACATATTACTCGTGTTCAAGAAGATATGTGCGTTTAGACGCTAGTTCCTACCGACATAGTTGGGACTTCCAACCCAGGTAACACGGAACTTTTTCACGATACCTATGTAGTTATCTTCTGGATCAGAATGCGAAATTCTTTTGCGAGGTGCCAATGATCCCTTCTGGCTGTCACCTTAGGAAATTCTTCCTGGAGTCTTTCAAAAAAAAATCGCGATTTTTTTTCTGGACTAACAAGATATCGATTCGTTTCTGAATATTCACTCGCATTCATTGAATCCAATATGACTCTTCCATTCGAAACGGATAGGAATTCATCTATTGTAGTAGGTTGACTCTTGAAACGCACCTATTGATATTGAATAGATTGTCTATTTGGTCTACGATTGTCACTCATTACCTACCCATCAAACTTGCCGTGGAAAATATATTCCAACTCAGCACTAATTGGAAGCCTATTTGATTCGTTAAGGAGCGCATGCGCTATACAAATCCTCACCTGATACTATATGTTCGGCTAAATAGAGATTGATGCAATCACTCATGACCAGCGAATGTGGATGCAAACTCGGAATTGGCGATTTTGAATCGAAAACCTTGGTCTTCGATAATGTTCTACGAATCTGCGTTTCTTTTTTTTCAGATATCATTGCGTGTGCTTCAGTGTGTCGTGGTTCTACATTCAAGTGAAATATGAAATTTTCCAATTTCGATTTCATGCTGTATACAGTGATACAAATTGGTTGTAATCGTGAGTACAGATGTCTCTGTTGATATCTGCGCTATGATGAAACAACGAATACATTTTTTTAAGACATCTGTGAAGACAGTTATCCACGAATTCGTCAATTCTTGTCATTTCTTAATAATTAATAAAAAGTAGAATATGGGGATTGGTGTTCTGTTTATTCCAGTGCTAATATCATCAGATAACATATCATAATGCGAACAATCAATCCTAATTAGTCTGTACAAAACAGTTGGAAGAACGGTCTGTTCTTGAAGAAACCTTTACTGTTACAATCAGTTGAAGTTTGGTCTATTTATCGAAGCACTCTTGGGTACATATTATTCAATTTCATGAATTATTTTTTCTCAGATATTGTGTCCCCATCCTGATTGTTGATTATAATTTCAAATTTAGCCTCCTATACGGATTCTTCAAAAGATAGTTGAAACTTCAACTGATTCGAACAATACACACGACCCTACTTAAGGTGTAAGAAAATTCAGTTATGACAATGTACCAATCGGTCTATAAAAATACATTTGAATTTCCACAAGCTATTCGACGATCATAGGTCAGTGATACAAGTCAGTACCACCTTCTAGTCCCAGCTTAATCTCTATTTGTGTATAATGAAGAATCAGATCGTAGATTCGAAATCGAGTTCGAAATCAAATGAAAAAAATTCCATAGTAACTTTTTGAACACGGACTATATTAGATTTCTCATCAATTATCTTTGCTTACTAATCAATTTGAATTCATGGAAATACAACACAACGAGCGATTTCAACTCAACACCTACCTCGTCTATCTATCCTCCCTTCTAGGTAGGCACGATGTGTTCCAAACATTATAAGAATTACTTTCCTCACGCTCCAAGAGATGAACAATTGTTTTGAAATGAACATAACACAAAAAATGATTTCACAAAGAACGTTTTATTTCATTATTCAATTTCGAATCTACGAAGAGATGAATGATAATTGTTATACTAGGTCGGTAAAACAAAAACACTCATTCCGGCCTAATACGAATTTATTCCTCAGTCTTTCAGGTTATGAGAGCTATTCATGAAATATGACTACAAAGTCATCAGAGAAAATATCAATAAATATTATGTTTTGGTTTCGTTAATATTCATTATATTTCCAATTTCGATGATATTATATCCGACAGTGAATGGAAAAAATTTGAATAATGATTCACGGAAGAACTGAAATTGTGCCAGAAACTGTTTCGAGGTCCTATAGCTCTTCCGTAGATTCATGACAGATTGAATTTTTTGTCAGGATTCCCAATTCACCTTGTATGTCAGTTGATAATCGGTTTTGGACCTTTGTATATATGGCATTTTGCAATCATTTTGGCAGTCCCTATAATCCCAGTGTTGTCGGTTTCAGTTTTGGACACCCTGTATAGGAAATACCGTTTAACCGTTTGAATAAGCGATTCTGATTTATTCTCGAAAACAAAGGTGCAGTAGATGTTTCTTCTCAATAATGGCTAGAGTCACAAATTGTCTCAGGTTGAGATCACTGTTTGAATATTTGACTGTGACATATCGAATAAATAATCATTCAAATTCACCTAACATAAGACAAGAAGAAAATCATACAGTTTACTCCACCAAAACTATACTTCATTGTAAGCAAACTTACGGGGACATGTTTCGAAGCTTTGAAGCTTCATCATCAGTGTTTCTGTTACATAGGAGCACTGAAGTGGGAGAAAAACAAAGAACAATGTCGAACAAATCCCTCAAGATCGATAGGTCTAAAAAACTCATCTGTTCTGGAGGAAGAAAGTTATGTTCACATAATCGACAAAATTATTGGGGAATGTTCTGAGAAAACTGATACATAATGATGAAGCTGAATGGGGGCCGCAATTATTGCGGTACTGCTTTGTTTGGGAACTTCGAATTTCATAATTATATAAATAGTTACGATTCAGATCGAAATCGAGAAAGCCTTATCTGCTCATGCCAAACTCTTAAAAAGAAGAGAAAACGAAAAAATGAAATGTCGAAATTCAAACAAATGGCATGACTTTGACATGACGTGACATAGGTGATATGAAACATCAAATAGACTACAGATGGGGGAGAGTTTAATGATATCGAAATGGAAGCAATAACAAATTTATGGTTCATGAAACTTCAGGTAAACTTTAGGTATTGAATCAGTTCTATCGGATGGAAATGAATGATTTTTATTTTTAAGTTTTGATGAATGTGAGACAGTTGAAGAGCTTAGAACTGTCAAAATGAGTCTGTTCATATTTTCACTTTTTCGACAAAAGTGTGAAAATTTAACTTGTAGTCTAGTCTATTTGATGTTCGATGTCACCTCTGTCACTTCATGTCAAAGTCATGCCATCCGTTTGATTTTTGACATCTCATTTTTCCGTTTCCTGTTCTTTTTGAGAGTTCGGCATGAAGAGATAAGACTTTTTCAATTTTGATCTGAATCGTACCTATTCTTGAAATTATGAAATTCAAAGTTCCCTTACAAAGGGGTCATCATGTATTAGTTATTCGAAAACATTAGTCAATTATTTTGTCAAATATGTAAACATCACTTTTTTCCACAGTTTAGTTTTTTAGACCTTTCATTGTTGAGAAGTTTGTCTGACATTGTTCTTCGTCTTTCTCCAACAAAAACGCTGATGAAGAAGCTCTAAAGCTTCGTAACATGTCCCCGTAAGTTTGCTCACAATCAACAATAGTTTTGGTGGAGTAGACTGAATGAATTAATTCCTGTCCTACTACCTTCACTCCACTGTGAGATGGATCGCCAGACTGTTGTACACCTAACATCTCTACTCAGTTGTCGAAACTCACCTCGCTATCATTGCTATGCAACTTCAAGACATATCCAGGTAGCAAGTCCTTCCTGGCGTTGACGTCTTCCAACGCCAAATGGGCGGCAGGCATGCACGCCTGCCCCCCCTGCCACCCGCCTTCGCCGGCAATGGGAAATATGCCCCCGATGTGCAGGACGTTGCCGTCACCGTAGGAAGACGTCGAGCGTTTGCCGCCCCCGAGCTCGATGGCTGCCGATATCAATAGGAGGTAAAGGAGCTTGTTCGATGGTGGCGTTAGATTGCATCGCGGTGGTCGGCAGTACTGAAATTGAAATAAGATATCAATTGCATTCCACAGTACAACCACGGCATTATTAAATATTTGTGACGATATCTTCAAAGCAATTGATATGGATGACATGGTGTGTCTTGTCCTACTAGACTACAGCAAGGCATTCGATACGATAGATCAAACTCAAGTTCCTCGGATTATCTAACCATGCAAGTTGTTCTTATACGCAGTTATCTTACTGAACGAAGCCAATCCGTTATAATGGGCTCTTTCGAGTCAGAATCTTCACCAATTGAGAGTGGAGTACCAGAAGGCTCAATTCTTGGGCCAATTCTTTTGTCAATTTGCATTGCAGACTTCCACAGATATGCCAGAAACTGCACTGCTCATCACTTTGCCGACGACACACAAATTTATTCAAAATTCCCTACGAATTCAATTCAATCAACATTTCGGCTGCTCATAACCTCAAGCTTAACCCAACTGAATCTGTCGCTATACTTTTTGGCCAAAAATCTAAACGAGCGTTACTAACACCACCTGGCTTCAACATCAACTAAGCAGAAACACCCCTACCTATGGTTAAGAAACTGCAAATCTTGGCTTCTGAGTTGACGAAGACTTAATATCTACTAGACATGTGGGTTATCTTTGTCAGAGCTCATATTATAATGTACTGAGACAATGGGCGTGTACACCTTAGTAGAACTTTCAACTCAAACCATGTTCATAATGATCCTCTCATACATGAATAATGATTGACGACATAATTCGATCGAAAAATTAACTTGAATGTTTTATTTTTGGACATAATTAATAGTGCCTTCTGAAAACGGACCCTCTCATGACGTAGAAACCTTATCTCACCATAGTTAAAAGAAAATACCAAACGCCCGACGGAGACTGAGGCAACTGATATATTGATTCTTTCAACTGTGATCTCGCGCTAATTCACTCTGTCAGAAATCATGTATCATCTGTCTGGAATAGTCTTGTTTCAGTATTAGGGAATTGACGTCACATCATCGCCTCGTTTTCAGATGTCCGAAAAATCGGGGATTCTAATAATTTTTTCGAAAACGTAAGGAGTTCACAGCAAGAAACAGTTTGCGGTGGCGGACTAGTTTCTAGTTCTAGTTCTATCGAATTATAAAATATTTTTTTTATATAAGCCCATTGTATCCAAATCGTGACATATTATCAACTGAAATAAATCTTGAATTGTGTGAATCTCTAGTATTATCCAAATTGTCATATTATGATAGTATTGACGGTCCAGCAATATTACAGAAAATTCAGAATTCCTGCAATCGATTTTCTCACAGTATTCAGAAATACGATCATATTAGTTCTAAATTCAGTGGATCTGGGTGACTGTTATTAGAAAGATTTCGCAAACTTCACTTACTTACACTCACTCATAAGGTCCTACAGACAGGTGAACCACCATATTTGCGTGAGAGGCTCGAATGTGACTCAACTGAACACCAGGAAAAACCATTTACTAGTTATTCCGAGACACACCACAGCATTATTCACACGTAGGATTGCCTACAACGCATCCAAACACTATAATTCGCTCCCCACATAATACAGGAATTGCTCTTTATACAACTTCAAAAAGAGATTGAAACGAACATTGAGATACGCTCAGGACTGAATGATTGCTGCTAAACCTAGCTCTTTTCTATTTGTCAATACTTCAAAAATGAAACTGAATATAATATTATTATTAGTATCACCGTTGATGATATCATCAATAGTATTATTACTCTCATTATAAATAGTATCATTATCATTATGAATAGTATTATTATCATCATTATTTTTCATCATCTTGATTGTTATCTTCAAAAATGTTATTATTCTCCTCATGTTCACTATAGATTACAAGCTCCATATGTGTTTCTTCCTCGCTCACAGAGGTTGAGATGAAAAACAGCATCAGCTCATATAACTCTCTCCTCTATTATATTCTGTATCATTCTTTATATTGGTGAATAATGTTGATTATTATTATTGATTTCATGTCGATGTTTTAATTGTAGTTCGATAGACAGTCATAACGGGACAGTCTTATTTTTCAATGCGTAATTATCCTTGTTGATTCCCAATTTCGTAGCTCTCCTAGCCTAGATTTATTCCTGTATGGTCTGACTTGCAGAAGATGTCCTTGGGAGGAAATGTGAGCCAGGAGCGCATAATACGAAAGTTGCCTAAAATTCCGTAGGGTCCCAGGTAGCCACAGTGACGGAAATGACGTCTATAGGACTACTTGTTTTGATCATTCATGGTCCCGTTCGTTACTCGTCCGAATCATGAGTTAATAGGACGTCATCTTTCCAACTTCATATAAACTGCAACTTTTGGACGTCTTATTTTATTTCTAGGTAGTGATGATATTTGTTCGCTACAATGTTATATTTTGTTACGAACAGTCACAAAAAAACTGTATTGTGACCAGAATAGATTCAATGTCCCAATGTATCACCTTTTTTATTATCAGTTATCATATCATGCAGATGACCTATGACCCTTGATTTCAATACCCTCGTCACACGGAAGCATGATGGAATTTTCATCCAGTTGTTTCCAATGGGGTGAAATACAAAAGTTATTTGAAAGCGAAAACCTTAAATGTCATTTATATTTTCTCGTTTGTCTATGTCTGTTTGGAATCTGGCAATACGGCGAGTCATCGGCATGCATCGGCCGCGTGCAATCGCGCCCTCTCTAAAAGAATTCTGTTTGTTTCGTTGTTTTTTTGTGCGGTTTGATTGACAGGATGGTTTCTCATTCAATATTATGTTCTGATGTTTTGTTTTGATACACTGATTTCTGATCATTTTGGTGATATTTCCTGCTATCCAAATCGATGATAGTGGACACAACAGTGGCTGTTCTCTAGGAATTGTGGTTGTTTCTTCTCATGACAATAGGGAAAAGTGTTTTGGCCGCCATTTAGAGCATGAGACAGAACGACTCAGGGATGTTTTGTTTGGGGTGCATAAATCACGAGCTTGGGGGTTGGATCGAGCTTTATTTACCCTATGTTGGGTTACTTACAGAGCTTTGGCATAAACCAGTACTGAAATTAATAAGCCGCATCACTAAGTGTGAAAAATAGTACTTTGGAGGACCTCAAAAAATAACCTAACCGCCTCAGAAAGAGGGAACATTCAATATCAAAGATCTTACCTGAAATTAATAACACCAGGTACACTAATTAATCACAAAATGTAGTAACAAATTAGACCAATTCGGTAACCAACAGGGCTGCTATATGCAACTTCAGCACTGATAAAAGCGAAACTGAAATAGTTCGAGAATTAAAGCGATATCCAACCGGCCTTTAGCAATAGAACAAAAATTGGGCCTAGAAGACCAAAAAACCACTACCTAAATATACGATACGGCCTGAAATTGAACATACAGGGCGAACGACAGCGTATTCCGCTTCAACTACCCCCCGAAGCTGGCAAAACGCATACTTGCGAGGTGGCGGCTTCCTTCGCACGATGAAACACTTTCAAGTGGCTGGCATGGAAAATCCCTCTTTCGACGCCACTGGTGGGGTCTACTGAAACGTACGTCGCGTAGCTGATAATTTTTTTGATTTTATACGGGCCCTCGAATAATAAGAGAAACTTTTTCGTTTCCGAGTTGATGGCCGTAGACTTCGGATTAGCCCTCAATAAGACTTAGTCTCCTGAATCAAATGCTCTATAGGGTTTACCCGGATTATTAATTCTTCGGCGAGCCGCTTTACCCTCTAATGTCTCTTTAGGGATGATAATTTTGTCACTGGAACTGATGAAATCAGGGTTTGGTGGTCGAAGCCGAGGTGGGAGAAGATTTTCGCGGGGTCGACCAAATTGAAGTTCGTTGGGGGTAAAACCGGTAGCCTCATGTAAAACATTGTTCAAAAAGTTTCCAAACTTTACAACTTCGAAAGCCCAACGCGTATGTTTACCTTGACAATAAACACGAAATAATCGACCTAGCTCTCTCATAACTCTCTCAGAGGGGTTGGCCTCTGGATGGCGTACGGAGGTATATATGACTTGAATATTTAGCACATTCAACGCGGTTTTCCACTTAGGCGAAGAAAATTGCGTTCCGCGGTCGGACAAGATTTTTTTGGGAAGCCCGCAATTCGGAAAATAATCCACGGTTAACCGATTTAAGCATGAACGAGTAGTCGCAGTTCTGAGCGGATGAAGAACCACATGTTTGGTGAAAATATCAACAACAACTAAAATGTAACAAGCACCTGCACGACTACGCGGAAGGGGTCCAAATAGATCCAAAGCAATAATATCCCCCTTGAACTCAGCCAAAATAGGATGCTGCGCTGGCTTAGGTAAAATAGAGATTTTCGACTTTTGGCAAATTTCACATGTTCTTACAGACCGTTTGACGTCCCGCGACAGGTTTGTCCACCAGACCTCGCGCCTCAATGCCGACCAACATTTGTATGCGCCGAAATGCCCTAGGGATTCGTGAAACGCTTCGATGAATTTGTCCCGGAGAGCTAGCGGGACACATAGTAAATAATTGTTGGCATCACTTTTCCGATGGTAAAGAACATCATTATGAATGTAAAATTTTGCCCGAAGGGAGGCTTCCGTTATCAGAGAATCGCGGATATCTTTCAATTTGACGTCTTCCAGTTGATATCGAGTGATATCTTTCAGAATATGACGAAAATTTTCCGGTAGGCTCAAGTTCAAAACCCGAAAAGACTTATTGTTGGGGGTAGGTAACCTGACACAGGCATACCGAGATAGACAATCAGCGATGACATTGTCTATGCCCCTAATATATAGGGTTGTCCAAAAAAAACCGGAATTTTGTTTATGTCTGATAACTTTTTCATTTATTGGCCGATTTGATTGATTTTGGTCTTGTTCGAGAGAGAATTGATCAAGGCAGTCCGCTGATAGAATTTTTTTTATATTCGTTCAAAAAACAGAATGGCGGAGTCACCTAAACTTGGTAGAATTTGAAAACTTGCTGGAACTTTTTTAGGTCGCACTGTATATCGTTTCGTGAAAGAATCTGGAAGTTTGGACATTTCTGAATAGAACAAGATGTCGAACATGATAATCCGTCGAAAAATACCTGAT